CGTGTGCGTGTGCGTGTGCGTGTGCGTGTGCGTGTGCGTGTGCGTGCGTGCGTACGTGAGCGTGTGTGTGTGTGTGTGTGTACGTGATATGAGCGCGTATGAGCGCGTGCGCGCGCGTGTGTGTGTGTGCGTGCGTCCCTGCATGTGTGTGCGTGGGTCCGTGCGTGCGTGTGTGCGCGCGGGTGAGCGTGTGTGTGCACGGGTGCGTGTGCGTGCGTTCGTGCGTGTGCGTGCGTTCGTGCGTGTGCGTGCGTGCGTGTGCGCGGGGGAGCGTATTTAACCTAGTTACTACCCTCGCCGTGCGTCTAAACGCCGCGAATGAATGCACGCTCGGCACGCACTGGGAAATGTCAAGGCAGGCGTCATACGCCGTGAGGGTAATAAGTAGACCTGCAGAATAGCAAGCAAATCTCTAGCTCCAGGGCAGCACAAAATCTTGCAGTAAGTAGGAAAACTTGCACACGCACACGCATACGCAGAATTTTGAATTTTCGGAAAAAAATGGCGAACTACGCATGTACGTAAGTAAAGCCCTCCCCCTCCCCCTCCCACCTTTTTCATGTGCGCGAAATTTTCCTGCATTTTCCTCGCGTCGCCACTCATCTTGTCATTCACAAACTTTCTCTTTATATCTTTCGTGAGATGATGATCACCTATTCGCTCACGCATTAGGTTTCCTTTGTAGCGCTATTGTGCGCCGTGAATCCACGAAGCTGACTGAGGGAGGAATTACGCTTTAAACAAGAGTCGGATTAGAAGTATGTGTACTGTAGACGGAATTTACTAAGTCTGTACGCAGAGCGAAGGATCTAGGGTCGGTCGGCTAGCCCATAGAAATTTGTAGCTCGTGTAACAACGCTAACGTTGCCGTTAATTGGAACTCTCTTTTTTATCCTTTAATGAAAAAATGGAAAATACCGAAATGGAAACTTTTCCCCCCTGTTGTATATTCCGTAATGTTGATCTGTTCGTTTGATTAACGTGAGGCTCTCTCCTTACACTGACAGTCCCTGGGACTATGACGAATATTCAGGAGTATACGTTACAACACCCACATTGTATATATATTATATATCAGGAGTTAATAAAGACAAACTTTATCTTATTTGTTTTTATTAACTCCTGATATATATATATATATATATTGTACCATAGTGTTGTTGTAACTGTATTGTTTGTTGTAACAACGATGAGTATTGCAGGAGTGTTGTTGAGTATCCGCGTATGCTTTCCAAGGTTACGGGGTTATACGAGCTACCCTGGCACGACCGTGTGTATAGCTGGCAGAAATCTGTTTAGGTCGTGGCGACGTAGATTGGTAATAATAGTTCCGACGATTGCAATTGTTGCGAGAGGCGACCAATCTATCTCTAAGGTTTCTTCCGCTGATTTGCGTATCGTCTGCGTATCGATTCTGTTGCCGAGTCCGCAACAATGGCGGACGTAATTGCTTTTCACAAACACAAGAGCATTCGACTTCGAGTGCTGTTGCCGGTAACATGGTGCGTTGCCCTCGGGGGAAATCCGAGATGGCGTTTGATGTTTGCTGTGTAGGTGGCGGTGTCGTGACAGCCATGAATTATACATGAAGTCTAGACGATCGTCTGCTTCTTCTCTTTCTTCTTCTTCTTGGAAGGAGGATATCATGGCAGGTAGGGAGGGTGAGGGAGATATCGTAGGAGGTAGGGAGGGAAGGGGGATGACGTAGGAGAGAGGGCAGTGGGAGGGAAGCGGGATGTCGTAGCAGGCAGGGGGAGGGAGGGTGAGGGAGATATCATAGCAGGTAGAGGGAGGGAGGGAATGGGGAATGTCAGCAGGTAGGGGTTGTGGTTTGAAATTTGACGAAGAGAGAAAGTTGTATAACAGGCGGTGTAAGCATGCAGATATATATAGACACAGTGAGATAGATAGATATTAGATAGAGAAAGAGAGGGAAACAGAGAGAGACCGAGACAGGGAGAGATAGGGAGAGAGAGAGCGAGAGAGAGGGATAGAGAAAGACAGAGAAAGAGAGGTAGAGATCAGAGACAGACAGACAGACAGACAGTCAGTCAGTCAGACAGTCAGTCCGACAGTCAGTCAGACAGTCAGTCAGACAGTCAGTCAGACAAACAAACAAAGAGAGAGAGAAAGCCGCATAGAAAGGGAGACACCATCTAACCTTTTCTCTGTCTTTCTGCACCACGATGCAGGCACAGCTGGAGATGCTACGGCAGCAGCAGA